ATATCCGCCCAATTAAAGGGTGGGGTTTGTATATGTGTATGTAAATATTTATCATCTGATGCACTGTTTGTGATCCTGGCATAATAGTGGTCACTCAATGGATGTCATTCTTTTACTTTATGTTATTTTCTTATATTTAATGCTTCTGTTCCGGCCCCATATGTTATGTACAGCAGGTTAAGTGTCTGTTTCCAAGTAGGTTGTGCCCAAACTTTTAGGGGCAGGTTTGGGGCGTGACACGTTTATGATATGTAAATGCTTATGTTACTTAATAGAACTCATTCACATAACTCATTTGCTCTGATGTTATTCACTAGGCGTTAGCTCACTTTGTTATATATATATATATATATATATATATGTAGATGAGCAACGGGATGTCCAGCCCCAGCCTTAGTGAACTTGCGAAGGATACCAAGTTTTTGTGAAGTCTGTCATGAGCGCCTCACAAGCAAGGCTTTTGTTTCTTTTGTCTTTTGAGTTTCTGTCTTCTTATGGAATCTTATTATATATGTATGAATGTGAGTTATTAATATATGAAAATTTTTTGTTTATGCCATTTATACACAAGTTTATTGGACAAAATTTGTTAGTCTACTTTCGCTGCTTTCCCCCTTATTATTAAATCTAATTTGATTTCTGTCTAAGACCATAAGTAATCTCATGATTACTGGTCAATTATGATCCAAACCTCCAAGGGCGGGTTCGAGTCATGACAACCTCTCTCTCTCTCTCTCTCTCTCTCTCTCTCTCATCTTCTTCCTCATCCCCTTTCTCTCTCTCTTATCTCGTGACTCACATGTCTTCCCTTGTTTCAGATTGTCTAAAACCTTAGACAATCCAGTGGCTGATCTACACCACTACTACCACCATCTTCTCCCCCCTCATCGATGACTTCGACCTCAACTCCATGGTCGTTGGTAAGCTTTGAAGGAAAGACCGTTGGAAAATGCCAAATCGACTGTGTGCATCATCAACTTTGGCAAATCTAATGGCAACACCTCGGGATCCATGGCCAGTTTTGCTAAAAAAGTTGAAGGATCATCAGAGAACATCGTGGTACAAAGATCGGTGAATATGGTGATACTTAAACCAACATAGCCTTTGAGAATTCTAGAAACTGGTCACTGGTTCTTTCAAAAGTTTCAAATGTAGGTTACGAGCACCACGGTGTTCATCCATGTTGTAATGTTTCCTTTCATGCACAGAAATATACACATTTGCACACAACATCGATTTATACACACACACACAGACACACAGATATATATATATATATATATGTTTTTTCATTCAATTATTTGATAATTTTGTGATTACCTACTATTAAAGTAGTCAATTCGTATATAGAATCATCATTTTCATTAAATTTCTCATTCAATTGTCAATTGTTAGTAAAGTAATTTATACTATGTATATGTATATTTTTCATTCCATGGTGATTTTGTCAATGAAGATGGTGGTTATGGTAGTCTATATATATATATATATATACATTTCTGATTCAATTATTTGACAATTTGTGATTACCTATAACTAGTAAAGTAGTCTATTAGTATATAGAATCATCATTTTCATTCGCATTCTCATTCAATTGTCAATTTCTAGGAAAGTGATCTATATATATGTATATGTATTTTATTTTATTTTATTTTTTGTTTTTGGTGGTTCTTGCATTTGAAACTATTCCAACAAAGAAATTGTTCCAAATGTGTGTGTTTATATGTGTATGTTGTTGTTATAGTTGTTTGATGTTGATGGTGATGATGATGGTGATGAAATAAATTATAATTTTTTTAGATAGGTAAGAGAGAGATAGAAGATGAAGAGGAGAATTTATCGATTTTGGTAAATGAACAGATAAAAAATAAAAAAAAAATTAAACATATATATATATATATATATATGTGAGTGTATGTACTAGGATATATTTGAGTGATAGTGGTAGAAAATTTCAATAGAAATGGAGAGAGAACAAAAGAGATAATGAGAGAATCTGTGTATATATGTCACAATTTGAAGAGATAAAAAAATAAACAAATAGGAAAAAAAATAGGCTTGTGAAATTCGACAGATAGAGAATATTAAGTTTGAATTTCAACAGATATGGAAAAAATAATTGAACAGATAATAAAATTTGGATAGATAAATTTAAAAAGATAAGAGAAAAAATTGAATAGATAATAAAATATGGATAGATATTTGAAGAGATAAGTGAAAATTGAATAGGTAATAAAATTTAGATAAATATTTGAACATATAAGGGTAAAAAATTTGAACAGATAGGAAAAATATTGAATAGATAGGAAAAAAATTTCAACAGATATGGAAAAATTTTGAACAGATTGTCAACGAAAGTCAACAGATAAATTAAGGGTATAATTGGAAACAAAATGTCCTTTAAAACTAATAAAAGGATTTCTCACCAAGCTATTTCACAAATGGTGGATTTTTCACTAACAAAAAAAATCCATTAGACATAATGCCTTAGACACTCTCTAAATTAGATTTATCACTAATTTACTCTTTAAATTATTAGATATTAGATTTTCATGTAAAAGTACAATTTAAATATAAATTATGAAGAAATTTCAATATTTGTAATCACTAAAACTGAGAAAATATGAAAGACAAAAACTGAAAACATATTTAAAAAATAAAATCAATGAAAGTGATTCTTATTTAGAATTTTGACATTATACCTTAGCTATTAAAGTACAATGTAAAATATTACATTTCATAAAATATAATTTAAACAAAAAGAAAGTATATGAAGATAATCTGTGAATTTTTTACACATAGTTTGCCTCTATCTAGATTTGAATGAATGCATACAACTTTAAGATTCAACCAAAATTATTCATAGTGATTTGATCCATGATGAACAATTATAAATATTATGTATATCAGTGTAGAAGCAGACACAGGAAATGAGAAAGAGTAATTATTTTTTGTTCTTCAATTATTATTAATGTAAAAAAATAAGGAGATGACTTCTTCTTTTTTTGGAGGGATAAACTACCAATAGGTTGTAATAGTTGAATTTAATTCTCATAAGTCTTATTGAAATGTCAAAGTAAAATCGTCGTTAAAAATAATTTTTTGTGACATTTTTTGCATATATCGCTAAACATTGACAATTAGTGATTTTTTTTTTTTTTGTCACGATTTTTGTAAGTTGTCACTAAAACTTACAATTAGTGACTTTTTTCTGTGACAAATTTTTCAAACTATCACTGAAAGTTAAAAATTAATAACTTTTTTTGTGAAATTTTTTTTAAAATGTCGCACTAACTTAAAATCAGTGACATTTTTGTGATAAATTTTTCAAACTGTCGTTGAAAATTAACAATTAATGACATTTTTTTAATAGTATTTAATGAAAAATGCCATTAATTCGCCCAGGACCTATTGGGCAATAAATTCACCTATTAGGACCCTTATGTAAGTGTTTTTCTTTTCTTTTTTTTTTTTTAAGAAGGGAAATGATTTGTTTATATTTATATAGGGCTCTTGGAAGTAGATATATTGTTTTTGAGTATTTAACTCAAAAAATAAAGAGATAGTTCGTTTGTATAACTCCAAAAATAAAGAGATAATTAATTTATATAGGACTCTTCATGATTTTTAGAAAATATAGTAGATTTAAAAAGGTAAAATTTGGATTTAAAAAAAGTAGAAAACATGGCAGGCTCTTCACACTTTTATAATAGTAGTAGATATTTTAGCTCACTAAAAATTCATAAATGATATTTTATTGAATCAAAATTTCTCTTTTAGGCAATAAAATATTTTTATTTCAACTGTCAGCCAAATGCCGAAAATAAAAACAATTTGTAATTTTCGGCATTAAAAATAAGTTTTGAAATACATTAAGACTGTTTGTTTCGACAAAAAATATTTTATAAAAAAAATATATAAATTATTTTTTGACGTTTAATTGACACTTGAAATAAAAATATTTTATTACCTAAAAGAAATTTTTTGATTCAATAAGATATTATTTATGAATTTTTAGTAAACAAAGCTACTCATGTGTTAAAAAGATAGTGTCAAAAAAAATTTACCTATTTTTTATTCAATCAAATAACGAAAAGTAAATAAAATATTTTTAACAAAAATATTTAATGTGAAAATGAACTTTACCCTATAAAATATATAGAGAGAGAGAGTAGGAATAAAAATATCCTATTATTATTCATGCATATAAAACGGAAGTGATTGAGGGCCCTAAATTTCGGGGCTCGAATGTCCCGAAATTCCACTTTAAGTAAAAAAAAAAAAAAAGGAAAAAAAGAAAGAAAAAAAGAAACAGTTTCCAAAAATAGAAATTAGGGGCATTAGGGGCAAATTTTTTAGGGCCACCAATCATTTTTCCATATAAAAATAGGCGCAGCCAAACAGCCGCTTTTACAGTTGGCAAGCATTGGAGGGCCCACAGGTACCTAGAGGTTTTAGCTGTCTTATGGGTCTCGCTGACCTTTCACTTTCGATGTCGCCACCTGTCCTTGTTGGAGGGTCCAAGCCAAGGCACCATCACGCTCCACGCGTCACGCACCAAGTGTCCTTACGTGTTCATGCCACATAAGACCATCTCCAACGGTGAACCAAACCCAGCATCAGATTTAAATTTTGATGAAAAACCCACTTTTTCACACTCTAACGGTTTCACCAAATCGATATCAAATCCAGAATTCAGTAAAAATGGTACCAAACTGAGTGCAGGCGAAGCATTTCAGCAAATCACTGTTCCTAACCGTTGGGATGAGACGAACAGGTCGACCATCCGGTTGACCAACCGGTTAACCAACCGGTCGCCCCGGAGAAAGTTCAGACCGTTCACAAAAAGGTTCAAACCAGTCCAAAAAAAAAAAAAAAATTTGCCAAGGTGGTCGACCACCCGGTCAACCGGCCGGTTGACCACCCGGCCGACCACCAAAAACTTTGATAAGAATTCAAGCACGAGACATTAACCCTAGCAGTCTGCTATTATTTATTTATTCTTTAACTAATAGCAGTGCTGCTCTTCACTATAACTATTTTTGTATTTACTTGTAATTTCTGGCCCTGCAATATCTCTTCTTCAAGCTCATCAAAAGACCTGCAGATGAAGACCAACGAGGCCAAACATGATTAGTGATTAATCTCTACTAAAAGTTTTTGAGCACTAAATGGATCTAACAGATGCATACCTTTTCCCGCCATTCCTAGCAAAAGCCTCCGCACATTTCCTGTTTCTTCCCCCTGCTGCCATATCGAAACAACATAATAAGGTTGCATGTTTCTATCATGAGCAACCGATGTTATGAAGGCAAAATTTGTAGAACTAGGAAAGCAAAGAAATCTATCTGGCTACTTACAGCAAGTTGTTATAAGGTCAGCCACACCACAGCTTTCGAAAAAGGTGCTATCCTGGACAGATGAAAACAACAACTTGGAAAAGGCCTTCATTTCTCTTTCTCTATAATATGCGTAATAAGTGCAGAAAAATACAAGAGGAATACAAATAAGAATATATTTGAACTCGTTACTACTTCCATATTATATTTATAAGAATAAGAATAAGAATCACTATGGGATAATATGCGTAATAAGTGCAGAAAATATATTTATAAACATAAGAATCAAAGTGAAGAATTAGTGAAGAATAAGAATCAATTTGAACTCTTTACTACTTCCACATTATATGGCATATTGGACAAGTTTGTTTATTCCTATCGGGAAGGGTCAAGACAAAAGATGGTCACATTGCTTTCTTCCATTAGAATCCCCTTAGCCTTCTCGTATAACACCGTAACCTACAACAGAGAGAGAAGATGTCAATGGAGAACCCTTTTCCATTACACTAAAACAGAAAGGTATCCATTAAAAGGTGAATACTATGGCATAATAATAATAACAGTTTCATAACATGGATGAGGCAAAGTACAATATATAGATGTCCTGGGTAAGAGTCAAATCTAGATGGACGGCTTAAATGTGAGCTACATATATAAAGGTTCCTTTTATAATAAATGGTTATTCATTCATCATAACAGAAGAATACTCGAGCTATCATGGTTCTTCAGTAAATTATTTCCAGAACCAGAAGTGCCTCTATTAATACTTGATTCAATGCTCACTTTCGAATAATGGAAACTCCACACAATTTCGTGTAGAAGTCAATCCCAGTATTTATTGACCTGCATTAGTATACCAAGAAATTAACAAAATTTATGTTTTGGGATAGGCAACTTAAGAATACAACATAGTGTGTGTTACATGTACCAAAAGGGAAAAAAATGTGAACAATTCCAATTTGCTGCAGATAGAAATATGTTGTAGTCCACTTTCTTTTTTTTCTGTTTTCTTTTTCAATAAAAGTATATGCACTCCCTCTTTATGACATAGAAAGTAAAGACAAACAAGAGAACATTATGATGCTAAATGTTAATTTCTAAATGCAGTTTAAAGTTAAAACTAATTTGTCATGAATGGTTAATTTTAGGTGTCACAGAAAACTGCAAAATTATTCACCAAGAAAGAAAGCAAATGAGTAAGAAGACTAAAGGTGAGCTAGCCACATTATTTCATTCTCATGTACACTTTTTAAAAGCAAAGGAAATATATGCTTTCAAAAAAAGATGATATAAAAAAAGGAATAAATCACACCCTAATGAAACAACATTCGCAGTCATCAGTCATTACTCTGCATAAATTAATCCCAACAATTTATAGCTAGTTTAAAAATCTAGTTTAGCCATATGTAGAGGAATATCTTTTCATAAAATTGACACCATGAGGAGACACTAAATTATATGCTAGCAAGAGAAAACACACAATCATATATGTAAAAAACACAAACAAATAAAAATTGAAGGCATGTAAAGTTCTCAATTTAAATTCAAAGAATTGAAGGAAACTTGAGATAAAAAGGAAGTAGTCTACTTATATTCCAAATTTCATTAGAAAGAGAGAGAGGAAGAGACTTGAATTGAGTGCATGCCTTGCTACTAATTTTCTCCTAAAACACATATGTTGAAGTGACTACTTGCTTCTCAGTAAAAGGCAAATGGCCAAGTCTATGCTCCATAACCTGAAAGTCAAAAACAATAAAAGCAATGATGATTGGTAAGATTTAACATTTTTATTCTATTAACCTTTTGAATTAACCTTTTAACATTTTTATTCTATTAACCTTTTGATGTGTGCCCAATCCTCGTATCAAAACTAAACTTATACTACTAGAAATCAGCTTTTTAGGGACAAATTTATTCCGTCCCTAAAAGTGTAATATTTGTTGGGAAAAACTTTTGCCAACCAATTTTTTCCATTGCGAAGTTTGTCCCAAATGACCCGTCCGGAAAAGTCAAAAAATGACTTTTAGAGACAAAATTTTACATTTGTCACTATAAATAGACTTTTAGAGACAAAAATATGTGGTTGCAAAAAGTTTTGATTTTGAGAACACCAAAATTTGTCTCTAAAAGTCAAATTATAATCCAGACAAAAATTAATTTTTGAGACAATAGAAATTGGTCTCTGAAAGTTTAGTTTTTGGGACAAATGAAAGTGGTCTCCAAAAGTTTTAGTTTTTGGAACAAATGAAAGTGGTGTGTAAAGGTTATAATTTTTTTGAGACAACTAAAATTGGTCTCTAAAAGTTTGATATTTTTATTTTATTTATTTATTTATTTTTTGTAACAATTACTCTAAAAATACTAGTATGACCATCAACTTATATTCCTTTCTTGATTTCTCAACAACCAAACAGAAAATATCAAACATATCACCAGACTATCTGTTCATCTCCAAATTAAAATTCAACTACATGAAAAAAAAAAAAATGCTCATCACATTCAAAGAGGCTTAATCAAAAGATATTTCAATAACAAAAAATACCATGCTCTGATTCATTAGTATGTAATATCTTGATTGTATACCATAAACTGACAGAGATTTCAAAAGTATCATTTCCAATTTATAAGGTTAGTGTCATAAGCATTGTTTGTAACATTCAACTATTCAATGAACAGATTGTAATTGGAGTTATATCTATCTACATAACAAAACAACTAAACTCATCGCATCTTCTTCTCAAGGACTTCATTGAAATGGCATTCAAAATCTAGCAGAGAGGTCGCAAGTTTCAAATCGACACAAGTTTACAGAACCTGCATAGAATAGGCCAAACTCTCAAATAGATTACCAATTAAAAATTATCCAATGACAGATTAATTTAATAGATTGCAATTTAATGTGCCAATTGTAGTATCTGCAACAATCACACATAAATCTTAGTACACAAAGCCGTCCAAAATTCACTATCAATATTCAAAAGTTAACAAAGATTAAACTAAAATCCAACCCTGTGTTAGGCACAAAAAAGCAATTACTAACAATTAAACATTTAACCACTCTTCTTACCAAAAAAACAAAAAACCCCATCACTCCTTAAATATCACAAGATCAAACTGCTAATAACTAAAAAGCAATAAACACAAACCATAGGCAAATCATATACCAATCAAATTATAATATAACAATCTACGGTCAAAAAATTAAACTCACTATACAGAGTTAACAAGCGTTAGCATTGGAACTCACACTGCTATAAGGGTAGAGGGTTCTTGAAAATTACAGTATACGTATCAATCCACCATTGTAGGTGTGCTGTTAATGTGGTAGAATGCGCATAAGCAGTCACCTGCTGTGCTACTTGATGCCCACTAGACTTGCATGCCCGGTCTTGTTAGTGGAGTTACCTAGAATCGACCAACAACATAGACATTTTCATTCAATCCACGGTCAAAACAGAGACTACAATTTTTACCACAAAAATGCTATCAATAAGAAATGCAGATCTGTAGGGTCCTATACACTTTCATAAACATGTTCATTCAATTATCAGAGGACAATGCAGAAATGCATAGTTTCTTAAAACCCGAGATGTTTATGGGTATAAATTTATTTAAAAAACAGTAATCTAATTTTGAAGAGAAAATCACTTTTAATGATGATGTGCATAAATATTCATTGAAGTTGGTAATTGTTTCTATTATAGCCAATCAACCCATATTGCAGTTCAAAAGCACTCTAATTTATATTATAAAGACTATTGCATTTGCCTCCTTGTCATTAGTTGCACATCATCTCCTACAAAATAACACACCCATATACTTAAATGTACACTCACATCCATGACAACCACCAGTATAGACTAGGCCTGTAAATGGATCGGATTCAGATCGGATCTGTTAAAACTCTAACCCCACCTACAAAACCACGGCTCACCAATATCGGCCCAAGATTTTTGAGACCACAGCCTAAACATCAAAATGAGTCCTCATCTTCTTAGGCTTTTGAAAATTTGGAATCTTTGGTAGCAAGAATTTTTGAGATTTTCTTAATGAGTTTCAGTGATAGTTTGTGAGGCAATCTTTCACAAAACTGACTTTCAAGTGTAATGTATCTTTCTTGCAAGGGCTTTCTGACTTTCTCTCAATCTAAATTCATGATCTAAAAATACAGCCTAAGACTAGTCTAACCCATGTTGTTCTCTTGGTAAATATTCAAGAAAAGAAAAACAAAAAACAAGATTGTAGCCTGAACTTGTGCTAGGCAACATGAAATGGATTTTAAAAATAAAAAAAAAAACAAAACATGAAATGGATAAAGCTTTGGTAAAATCTAGAACTATTAGGCAGCAGTTGTTCATCCAATGGCTAATTGCTAGAGCAGTCACCAAAAGGCATAGTATAAGAAATGGTTAGGTACTAGCTTGAAATTACAGATTAGAACCAGTAAAAAATCCCCAGTGAGGTCTGATAGAGGAATGAGGATATTAGGATGATGTGCCTAATGCCTCTGCAATACCACTACGGCTCCATTCTCCACAAAATAGGATATTGTAGAACTTTCTTTCACATACAGTTTTCACTGTTCTCTCACATCCTCATTTTTAATCAAAATCTATCTTAATCTACTTGCAAACATGTATCTTGCTTCTTCCCTAGCCTGTTCAATTTAGCAGATATTTTACCAAACGAACCTAAAACAATAATTCACATATTGATACTACAAAAAGTTTTAAGAACTTCATAAATAGGCCTTTGAGCTTATACAATATACAATACATATGAGTTCTCTCTACCATCCTTGATTGCCTGAAGCTTAAAAATAAATAAAATTGAAAATTTTAGACTCCAATTAAATAGCTAGGTAATAAAATAGATCCAAATTAACTAATGATTATTGCTAAAGCTTTAATGATGTTCAGAGTTATAAGGCAACGAAATAAGCTACCCCATAAATAAGAAAGTGCACATTTAGCCCTCAAAATGTTGATCCTCAAACTCAACAGCAAATGAGCTTCATGATACAAAAATTCATAAAAAAAAATATAAAAACAAAAGTCAAAAACAAGCAACAGCAGAAATTCTTTATCAGAAGATAACAACAGATCATGCCTGGAAGTAGAGGACAAGATTGGAATTGTGAAATATGTGTAGAGAAATGGAATAAAGATGAAAGATTCTACCAAGGCAACCACCATATGCAAATAAAAATATAACAACATATAAACCTCAATATTCAAATATTTAGTGATCTACTCCCAACTGACCCAGGATTAGAAATAAGCAACAATAGGATGTCTTAGCTTCTTTAGAGGTGCAACAGTTGAAAATGAACAATTGACTATTAAATTAATCTCTCAATAAAACAGTAGATAAAATATTATGTGATGGCACACACATTAGTTTGCACATGATCAAATTTTTTTTTTCCCCAGAGAAATAAGATTTTGAAACGTATGATTGAATTATCAAAA